CTGCAATAGGATAAAGACTGCTTTGATTCTGAATCTATTCACCTGGGTGGAATTGGGGCTGTTGTGGGGAAAATCTAAAACACACACACACACACACACACACACACACACACACACACACACACACACACACACACACGCTAGCTCTCTGTCTCGGCAGATTTGAGCGGCTAGGATCGGGCTCGTAATAGCGAGCTACTCTTTCTCTTTGGATGGATGTGTTTTATTGGTTTGGTTTTTTATACCTGGCCTAATCCCTTGCCATGCTCTGTAGCATGGGCTGTCTTGTTGATGAAGTAATGTCTGTGGGTGGCCACGAGTTTTTCCTCGGGTGGGAGTTCGGGGTTTTTGCCACAATATCTCTGTGAGGCTGCTCAGAGAGTGTTTTCTGTGGGTGTCATTTCTGCAGGCTTCTCTTTCGGAGCACGTAGAAGAATGGGGTGCCTTCTAGGGTGTTTTAAGCAGTAGAGCGCTCCTGGTGTCACGTGGAGATCTTGTGGCCTTTGGCATAGTTCTCTCAGTGGCCTCGCTTTAGCACTAGGGCATCATCCGATTCTGCAGGTTGGGCGGCAGGGGGAGGTTCGTGGCATTCTTGGTGTTGCGTACAGGTCCTGAAGTGTATTTTTAATTTGTGGTGGCGTTGTAGGTCGTCTCAGATGGCTTCAAAAAAACAATGTAGACCATTGGCATGCGTGGTCGGTGCTTTCTTGTTAGTGGAGGCTTTTGTGTTATGTTGTTTTGTGATTTTGTGGCCCGACGTGGAGGGCTCTTCAAGTTTTTCGGACCTATGGCGGATGGGGCCGGTGCTTTCTTGACGGCAGATGGGCATGTGGGCATTTGGTGCTGAACCACACAAACGTGGCCAACCTTGCATTTTCTATTCTATTGTCTATCTATACTTTTTCGTCATGGATGGCTTGTTATGATTTGTGGAGGGAATGAGAGAGAGAATTTGGGGTGCTTTAACCACACACACACACACACACACACACACGCACACGCACACACGCACCGACCCACCCACACCCACACCCACACCCACACCCACACCCACACACACACACACACACACACACACACACAAGGCCTGATTCTTTGCCCTGCTTTAGAGCATGGGCTGTTTGGATATTCACAGGTGGCCACGAGTTCTCTTTGGGGGGAATTTATGTTTTGTGGGCCGGCGTGGAAGGCTTTCCCAGCTTTTTTGGACCCTTAACAGGGGGGGTCAGTGCATTCTTGCTGGAGGAGTCTGCTATCTTAGGTAAGTTGTCTCTTATCTTCTTCCTCCTCTTTGGCAGTGACGCGAGTGTGTAGTTTGAGATGAACGTAAGGAATGCCAATTCTGTTTTATTTGTTTGTTTTTGGTAAATGAGCTTTTGGTTTTGTGGGCCGATGCAGAAGGCTCTCCAAGTTTTTCGGACCTTTGAGGGGGTGGGGTTGGTGCCTTCTTGCTGGAGTAATCTTCCGTCTTTGGTAAGTTTCCTTCTGCCCTCCATCCCCTTATGGATTGAAATATATATGTATACATAGTACATACGTATATGTGCAAGTGTGCCGCTTTGGCGGCAGACGGGTGTGTGGGTACTTGGCGCTGAACCACACAAATGTGGCCAACCTTGCAATTTCTATTATATTGTCTATCTAAACTTTTTCGTTATGGATGCCTTGTGATGATTTGTGAAGGGAATAACAGAGAGAATCTGGGGTCTTTTAAAACAACACACACACACACAACACACGCACACACACAATATGCATGCACGCCATTGGATTTCCTTCTTTCTTGCCCGACGAATGGCAAACTCAGCAGCATGAGCAGGAAAATAGAGTACCATATGAATGCAATCAGACTCGTTTTCAAACACACTTTTCACACATGTAAACAGTAACGCAGCATACTGGCGACATGCGCCCACTCAAAGCTCAGAGATATGGCTTTCAGATACGAGTTCACTCTCAATTGGCTATGGCAACTTCAGCGCCCAAACATCTCACTGTTCACATACACTGGATCACCCTGGATATCCCACACGCATCACTCTAACACTCGAACACACACACACACTCACTACTAACTATAGCTATGGCAGCTGTTGCTGCATCTACCCTATCGCTATGCTAACTCCCTCTCTCTAGCCCACTGCGTCCTCCGGGCTCATCTGCAGACCTCCTTGCACAAGTCGCTGTGGCAGCGCTTCCGCGTGGCTCATGCAGGAATGAATGAATGGCTGGGCGCTGCCTCTTGATTTATACTTCAGAAACTCGTTGGTCTCCCCTTTGCCATCGGCCCTTGGTGCTTACAGTCTCCCTGTGGTACTTGCTGGACTGGACTGGGACTCTCT